CACAGTCTTAGTAATTCACCATGCATGTCATACATATTGTATCTGTTTAGTATTGTGTGTTGGTTCCTAGCTTTGAGAAAATTGTGTTCAGTGCAGTCATAACTTTCATAGTGATTATATAAAGGCTATTATAGGAAATATTTGTTATTAATTAAATATTGCTGTTACATATAATGTTACCAGATGTAATGAATTACTAGCATCTTGGTAATTGTAGTCCAGCCCATTTAGAAAATATCAGATTGAGGAGACTGAAATGCTGTCTTTAGTTTTAAAATTTATAAGTCTCTTAAGCCCTTTTCTAAATCAAAGCTGCAATGATGGGTTTATTTCCTCCACTGGTTCTATAAAGAAATGTTTCTTTCCCTAAATGTACCATATAAAAATGTTAGTAGAAATACTCTTCATCCTATGGTTTTTGCTGATAGGTAGTGGAGTTTATACTGGCTTGCAAAAATAGAGAGATTAAAGATGTATGAAATTGAAATTTCAGAATCCAGCAGAATCTAGCCACCTATGCCGTAGTTATGGACTGTTCATCCTTAAGCAATCATTGGAGATAAAGAGTGTCAGAATGGCCAGCATACCTAGCAATTATTGGAAGGATATGTTTTTTTCAAATCTCTCTGTTAAAGGAACACAGAAGGAGTATGTGACCAATGGTCCCCACCTCTCATAAGCCACAGGAAGAGAGTCTTTCAGTCAATTGTATCTTTTTATACTTGCCATGCAAGACAGCCAATGGAAGCACATGGTACCATGTGAGCGAAAATGTTTTCCAGTGGTTTGCTGACTCCAACTGGCTATGGAGTAACAACATATCTAATAGCATCTGGAGCCAGAAACAATGGAGCTTTTCCTAAGTCTGTTTGCCTTTTGATGTCCTCTACCTTTTGTCGCAAGGTTTGTTTTGCTTGGCTGTAGTCCAACTTGAGTATTGAGGCTGGGAAGAAGCCTAGTTTGGCAAAGTTGGACGTGACAGCCTTGATCCATGATGAGGAGAATTTGTCTTGGAGGATTAATGGAGCAAGGCCTTGAGGAAAGAAGTTAAGCTTTATCCAGAGATTTAAAGATGCTATACAGATTCTTGCTTCGACTTTTGTCCAGTAGTGGGATTCAGCCAGTTCAGGTTGGTTCAGGTGAACCAGTGGTAAAAATTCTGGCTGGCCCTGCCCACCTGGGCCCCCACCCTGCTCTGCCCTGCCCTGCCCTCCCCATCCAGTCACTCTTCATCTCATCTGCTCACCTGGCATAGCTGCTGCTGCTCTCCATCTGGCTCCCTGGCTTGCCTCGACCACATGGTCTCTGAGGGCCAGTCAGCTTGCCTGCTGTTATGTCTTTGGAACCGGTTGGAGTCCCCAACCAGGTCCGCTGTTTGAGCGGGAGCACCAGCCGCTCCCATTGGCTGGCTCCGTTTGACAGTCGGCTATAAAAGCCGGCTGTCGAGCAGAGCCAGCCCGTTGTCGCCAGCTAACCTGCTAGTTAGAAGGCAGGTGCGGCAACCCTTTATTCCCTGTAATAAAGCCTGTTCGTTGTTCACTCTGGCTCTTGCCTCTTCCTTCCATCGCTCCACAACACTGGCAACGAGGATGGGATGTGATCGAAGGCTAGCCAGACGTGTTTTTCAAAAGAGCTGTGGTCACTGAAGAGCGAAGCCACGGGCGCTGAAGCAGCCGCCGCCAACACTCACAAAGAGCACGAAATTTAAAAAAGCCTCCGTAGCTTTTGAGCTGTAGTCACTGAAAGCGAAGCCATGGGCACTGTAGCCGCAGCCGCCGGCGCTCACAAAGAGCGCGAAATTCAAAGAGCCTCCGTAGCCTAGAGAGACAGTCACCGCCTACGCTCTTCTAAGAGCGCAAATTTTGAAATATGACTGAAGAAGACGAACCCTGCATCTTCAAAATGAACGCTAATCCAGCATTCCCACCATTCAAGCCAACCGAGGAAACGTGGGACTCTTACAAAAATCGTGTCAGCCATTTCCTTGATGCCATCGGTTTAGCAGACGCCGCTGAACACAGGAAGAAGTCCTACTTCCTCAGCTATTGTGGGGCTGCAGTTTTTGACACCGCTATAGCACTAGTCGCCCCTCGTGCTATCAGAAGCGTACCGTGGGATGAACTCCAAGAAATCCTCTCCAACCACTACTCGCCAAGGCCATCTCAGATAGCCAGGAGATTCTCCTTCAGAATTAGAAAACAGGCAGAGGGTGAGTCAATCAACGAGTATATGGCAGCTCTGAGGACAGCTGCCTTGCAGTGTGGGTTCAAAGACTACCTAGAAGACATGTTATTGGACCAGATCGTCTGTGGGGTCAGGGACCTGAGGCTCCAAAGACGTTTGCTAGCAAAAAAGGACTTGAACCTAGCTCTTGCCATAGAGGAAGCCCAAGCTGCTGAGCTCTCTGCCCAATCAGCAGCTGAAATTCAAGGTACTCCGTTAAAGCCCAGCAGTTCCACCATCCATTCAGAGGAAGTGCTCAGTGATGAAGACCCCACAGACTCATCAGACATTAACCGTCTTAAGCAACAGAAGCCTTCACAGGTAGGAGCGGGGCAGAGAAACAACTTCGCCCCCAAACAACCTTCCATTTGCCTAACCTGCGGAGGCTCCCACTCTAGGGCATCCTGCAGGTTTAAGAACGCCATCTGCCTAAATTGTCAAAAGAAGGGTCACCTCGCTAGAGTCTGCCAAGCAGGGCGTACCTTGCCGCAGAGACCTCCACCACCTTCTAATTCCCAAAGGCAAGTGGAGGACTGCTATACCTGCTACCACGCTAACCATACTTCCCAGACTCCCAATAAAATCAAAATTTCTATTTCTTTAGAAGGTAAACCCTGCAGGATGGAGGTAGACACGGGATCGGCACTTTCAATCATCTCCTGGGATACCCTAAAGAAGATCCAGCCCAGACTGTCGAAGAAGCAGCTACAGAGATGCCACCTGACACTGCGGGACTACCAGGGCAAGAACATCCCTGTCCTCGGGAAAGGCAAGTTTTTAGTTCAATTCCAAGCCTTTAAAGGCCATTTGCCTTTAGTGGTTGTTAATGGTGCCCTCCCCAGTCTGTTGGGGCTAGATTGATTCCCCTCCCTCGGCCTTAGTGTAACTGGGATCCATGCTGTCTATATAACTCCACCCCTTAAACGGAACCGAAAGGGGAGGGGTGTTCCGGACTAGCAGGCTCGAAAGCCTGCAACTCTGATTGGCCCATGAATAGCAGATCGTAATTGGTCACCGCAGACTGATCCGATTGGCTAGTAAACGGGCTGCCGCGATTGGCCCTGCCAAGAGCGGCAAACTCAAATCGCTTTCTTTTTTTTTTTTTGAACAAATTTTATTGATTTTCCAAAACAATACACAGACAAACAAAACATAGAATATAATGACATAAGATTTTTTTTTTCTTAAAAAGCCAATACAACATCTTATTTAAAGACAGAATTATTCCAAGTTATCACATTTCCAAACAAGCACAATTTGATATATATATTTACCTTATCTGTTCATCTTCATATCTTATCCCAAACTTCTCTTTATTACTTCCTTTCCTTCTATTTATTCAAATTATATCTCTTTAACTTTAGATTGTGTACATTTTTTATATCCATCTGTCTTATACATTTTCATTATTCTCTTCCAATAAAAAAACAAACAAGACATAAAACATAAAAACATAAACATCTTTTCTGAAAGTTGCTTGATCCCGGGTTAAAACTCATCGTACAGACACCTCTTCAAAAATCATGTTCCTTTTATATATCATTCCATATCTTATTACCGTTTCCCATTTTCTATATAGCTGCTTCCTTTTTTTAACTCTCTTAGTTTTATTCTACTTATCTCAGTTCAAGTCATAATATTTAACATTCTTTGTCTGTTCTCAGCTATCCATTCATTTTTTCTCTTTAAACAAAACCTCTCCTGTACACTAATTAGAGTATGACGCCTTTAACTCTTTCCCCTAACCTAATAATACTTAATATCACACATAACTTATATTGGGATTCTGTTTAGCACATCCTAAAGTCACACCATATATTATATAAAAAGAAAAAGAAAAAAGAAAGAACGACAACAACAAAGAAATTTATAGATATATAATATAGGTAGTACCCCTGTCAAAACCATTTTAATCGTACCTATTGATACTTATTTTTATATTTATATCTTAAACATTTTATTCTATAAATGCCTATAATAACACAATCTTATGTACTTTACAGAATCCCTTTTTCAATTAAGTTTACCCATTGTCTCTGAATAAATTTTGTTTCTTCAGATCTTGCTTCCCATCATTGAGACTTCTCACCCCTTCCTTTCTCCCTTGCTTATTCTTTTCCTTACCCTTTTTCCCCCTTTGCCTTTCCACCTCCCTTTTCTCCTTGTGCTTTCCCCCTTCTTGTTGTTTTCTACCTTATATCTACCCTTCAACTCATTTTTATCTTTTTTGGTTGTTTTTTTAGGTTTTAAAATCCCTTTTTCCTTTTCCTCTTCCTCCTTCTTCTCCCCCAGTAGGGTCACATGTTCATCAAAAATGGTTCCTTCTTTGTCCCAATTATCCTGCTGCGCAATCAATTCTCCATAGGAATACACCGCCATTTCTAGAGATTGAAAAAGAATGTCCAAGGTATCTTTCCAGTCTTGTTCTTCCTTTTTATATTTTAGATATTCAGTTTTAAATTCATCCAAAAGTGGTGCCATTATAAAGAGGAGAAATTTTTCCCAAAACAACCACCCGAGTGTTTTTAAACAAAGAAAAAAAAGTTTCCCAAAAGATGCAAAGTCACCAAACAATCCAGATAGACTATTTCATTTAGCACTTTTTCTCTTCTTCCATTTCTTTTTCTGGGGTTGCTATTAAATCACAAAATTCCAATTATAGTATGTCTTTTGAAGTCTTGTTAATGTTCAAATGGCTCTTTAAAATTCTAGGCAGTCTGCTCCTTATTTTCAATTTCTACTTCAATTTTTTTCCTCTCCCTTCCCACTCACAGCAGAAGAAAAAATTTTCTTTAAATATTTAGAAATCCATATCCCTTTGGCATTAGCATAGTCTTTAGCATTTAGCATACCTTCAATGCGGGTTTCCGATTTCTCTCAAAGCTGTTCCGTTTGGAAGGAGAGTGAAAAGAAAAAAAGTTTTCCCTTTGATATCCATTCGCTGCTTACTCAGTCTGGGAGCAATGTGTCTTTAGTAGGTGTTAAATACCAGGATACTTTCACTGTTCCTTTGTCCCGGTCAGCAAAATCAGTTTCATTTCTTCACAAACCCCTCCAGCACATTCCTTTTCCCGGCTGGGCTCTTCTAAATGGCGGCCATGAGACTGCCATTCAGTTGCCATCGGAGAGGGAGATTTAGCCGGCTAGGGAAGAGAGATGCGATGTCTCTCGTCCCTGCCAGAACCCCCCAGTCTTCACCACCTTCTACAAAGGTGGCTTAGCCCTGAAGCCAAATGGCTCGAGGCACTCAGGCAGTGAACACAGGCAGAACCCGTGCAGAGTCACGGAATCCTGCCTGCACCGAAGCACCACAAGCCGGAAGAGCCTCAAATCGCTTTCATTGGCTGCCTAGCCGCAACCAGCCCTATATAAGGGGCTGCTGCGGCTGGGATTCTTCGCTCAGATCTGAAGTCACTAATAAAGAGCTGTTGTTGTTATCTGAGTCTTGCCTCTGTTTCTGAACCATCCTCCCAGATCTAACAAGGTATAGATTACAAATTGCCTATCATGACCTTTCCCTTCATACAGAAGAAAATTGTGGTTTCTCCAGGAAATAGATATGCATGACAGTGAGGGAAGGCTTTGGTCATGCCACTAATATCAGCAGAAATATCATGCAAATCATGCATTTTGCCCTGTTCTTTCTTTGTTGAGTTCTTGTTGTTGAAAGTGGCTATTGTCTTGTTGAAGAAACTTGCAATAATTTGTCACATATTTTCAAATTGATCTTCTGTTTCTTCCTCTATATTTTCTTGACCCCTCATTATGGACCTTTCCTTGTGATTCTGGAAAGGTGCAGATCTTTCATCCTCTGTTGCTTCATGTCTCTTCCTCCTAGTCCATCCTGACAAAGTTTAATATCACCTCCTGACCATGATATCTCCCCCCTCCTTTCCAAATGGCATAATTATGCTGGTGTTAATTTAATTTGATTTAATTTAATTTTTATCACAATGTGGTACATTGCAGTTCTCATCTCAGAACAGTTTAGAATCCCTGCTGACTTGTCAATTTAATTGTAATTAGGGAAATTATAAAATGGATCATGTAACTTTCTCAGGGTTAAGACAGGACTGGTCTACCTGGTGTCTGGCAGCCAAAGGAAGGGCTGGTCTACACTCAATTTCAGAATAAGAATCAGTTGAACAATGAACAGGATGGACAAGGACCAAAGCATAGTGACTAATATGCTTGATTGACATTGGATAGATTCAGTTTCTACTCCATCAGTAGCCATAGCAGCTCACTTGGTGGCTTTCAGTCCAATCTACTTCACAGGGTTGTTGTAAAGAAATATAGGAGGATATAGATTATGTATGTATCTTGAATTTCTGAACAAAGATGGGATATCTTTGCATGTTTGTGTGACAAAGAATGGGCACATAAAGCAATACAAATATTCAGGTCTTTCTTTCTGTACCTTAAAATTGTTGCTTCTTTAAGAGCCACATAATAGATCAATTCCTTGCTGCTGAGTTATAAATAAATTGAGGGATTGTGAGAGTGGAACATCAAAAATGAAGATCATATGATTGCAGCAGCTATCTAGCAGTAATCAGTAGTGGCAAACAATCAACTTTCCCAAGTTTTGTTTCCTTGGAAGTCATGGGTCATTGACATTCAATGCTTTCTGTAAAGTTAGCCCATTTGAGGACCCTAGTTCATAAATTGTTGCCCAATAATGCACAGTTTCATCTGGGTAAAGGTCATGACAGTGTGAGTTTTAGTAATATATAGATAGATTTGAGATTTGGGGTATTATTAGTTTATGACTGTATGACAATCCTAACTGTCAGCAGTACACAGGGATAATTATGGAACAGATTTTCTCCTTCCTTCTTTTTTTTCTTTCACACATATATTCACACAAACAAAGCATAAGGAGAAGAGATTATCTTTATCTTTTTAAGGCAATTTTCCCCAAGTTTTAGAAATTTAGTAGAGGCATATAAAACTTGACAATCAAATGCCCTGTTTGTGTTAATATCAAATTATTATTTTTGATATGACAGAAGGTGATATTAAATACATCACTGAAAAGCAGTTGTATTTCTATTTAAGTCATTCTATTCATTATATGCAATTTTAATTTAAATACAAATCACATTTAAATTTAAATTGCATTTAGTTTTTCATTCTAATCCTCTATCTATTACATTCTGTATTGCATTAGTCTCAGCACAGCATTCAAAGATCAACTATGGCTTCTGACTTAGAAAAAAAAGTTGTGCATTTGTGCTTAACTGGAATTTGGATTGACTGGATTAAATTTTAATGATGATCTGTAAAGCTTCAGCAATGTAACTTCCTTTTCCTAAAATTCACAGATAGGAACACTAAACTTGTAAAGCCATTGCTTAGCAATACACCATGAAGGCAAATGCATATCTATAAGCAGATAAAACATTCCATTGCATAGAGATCACTGAATGCTGGCCTTATACTCCCTATTGTGTGTAGTTAGAAACATTCCACAGGAATAAAAAATAATTTAAATTGGCAATTTTTAATCCAAAAATTTATAATATGAATTTAGGCACCAAATTTGAAAACATTATAACAACTATTTATGATACACAACAGGCTAATATTATAATAAACGGGGAATATACCCGCCCAATAAAAATAGAAAAAGGAGTCAGACAGGGCTGCCCACTCTCACCCCTGCTCTTCATATTATCATTAGAAACATTATTAATGCGAATTAGACAGAACCCAGATATAAAAGGATTAAAGGTTAAGAAAGAAGAATATAAGTTGCAAGTGTTTGCGGACGATATGATTTTTTTCATTGAGGAACCAATAGAAAGAGGACAAAAATTGCTGAATTAATTAGAACAATTTGGAGCAGTAGCCGGACTCAAAATTAATAGGAAGAAAACTAAATTAATGACTAAAAATTTAACAGAAAAAGAGAAAATAGAATTAGAAGAAGTTATGGGAATACAAGTGATAAAGAAAGCTAAATACTTAGGAATATGGTCAACAGCACATTGTAAGACACTTAAGGAAAATAATTATGATAAATTAATGCAACAGGTAAAGAAGGATTTAGAAACATGGGATAAGCTGCAACTTTCATTATTAGGCAGGATCGCTGCCATTAAAATGAATATTCTTCCAAAATTTCTATATCTATTTCAGACGATCCCAATTAAAGTACACAATTTTTTTTTTAAGAACTTAATAAAATAACTGTTAAATTTATTTGGCAAGAGAAAAAACCTAGAATAAATTTAAAGGCAATGCAGGATATGAAGAGCAGGGGAGGGCTGGCACTTCCAAATTGGGAGTTGTATTATATTGCTGCCTCTTTAGTATGGTTGAAGGAATGGGTGAATTTAACTAACAAGAGAATATTATTTTTAGAAGGCCATGATTTGCAGAGGGGGTGGCATGCTTTTTTATGGGATGTAGAGAAAACTAGCCAGAAATATTTCCACAGACACCTAATCAGAGACTCATTATTAACTAATTGGAAGAAAATACGGAAAAAACATTATTTAAAAGTACCAATTTGGATTTCAACAATGGAGGCGATGATTTACCCAAATAATCTGGATATCACTAAAATGATTAAATATAAGGACCTATTGGATACACAAGGAAATTTGAAATCGTAGCAAGAACTTCAAGAGCAGGGACTAAAAATTGATCAGTGGGCATACCTCAAATTCAAAGGACAAGAAAGAATTCAGAATCAACAATAAACTCCAGCAATTAGATAAAATTTTATTAGGATCAGGCAAAAAAAAAATAACAAAATTTTATAATTATTTATTAGAAGTAGAATTAGAAGAAAAATTGTAAAAGGGAACATGATAGCCTGGAGTAGGAATGTAGGACGTAGCATCACCCTAACAGAATGGGAAAAGGTCTGGGGTAGAAATAATAAGATTACAAAATCGGTAGCATATAAAGAAAATGCCTATAAAATGTTTTATAGATGGCACCTTCCTCCTTCGAGATTAGCGAAGATGCACCCCAATATGAGTCCGAATTGCTGGAAATGCAAAAAAAAAAAAAAAAGAGGGAATCTTTTTCCATATGTGGTGGTCCTGTACAGAAGCTCAAAAATATTGGCAGAAAATTAGAAACTGGCTGGAAGAAATGACAAGAGAACAGATCGAATACAAACCAGAGTCCTTTTTGTTAGGGATCTTTGATAAACAAATATCAAAAACAGCGAAATACACAATAATACACATTTTGACAGCGGCCAGATTAGCTTTTGCCCAAAGTTGGAAGCAGCTTCATGTTCCATCAGAGGAGATGATCATTCAAAAAATTTCAAATTGTGCAGAAATGGACAAATTAACTTTGGCATTAAAAAATAAAGACACCTCAATATACTACAACAGCTGGAACTGCTGGTACAAATGGATAGACCAAAGATAGACTTTACATTTTAAGGCAAAAGAGGATAGGATAAATCCATAGTAGTGATACCCCGATATATGTAAGGATTAGGTGTATGTATATGGCATAAATTAAGGATAAAAAAAGAGGTCTTACAAGCTGTTGAAGATGAGAATGTTTTTAATTGTTTTCTATTTTTTCTTTCTATTTTCTTCTCTCTTTTCTCTCTCTCTTTTTCATTTGTGTATGTGTTTGTTTTAATTGTAAAATCAATAAAATTTATTTAAAAAAAATATCTGGAATTTTTTATTTATATCTAAGTCTTATTTCCTGCAAATTCTGATGGTTTCTACCTTGAAATTTTCAGTAGATATCCACAGCAATCCTATCCTACCCTTCTCCTATCTTTATCTGATACAATGTGTGATGACTCAGGCTGGGCATGGAAGTGACACAGCTGAAGCGCAGGCTTAATTCCCTTTTATTGCTCTAATTTTTCCTCACAATCTCCACTGCATATTCAAGAGCAGAGCTCTAAACATGCATATACACTTCCAATAGTTCTTGGCTGCTATATGTGCAGAGGAGCGGCATAGTCCTAGAAGCAGAAGCGATACAGAAAACCTGATCACGGGGCATCCTCATCACTCAGAAATTTTGCTGGGGCTGCAGCAACAATTTGGAGCAAAGTGGTGTTGCTGTGTGAGCTTGCACACAACCAGGCTAGGCAAGGTAAGGTAAGTAGAAGTGAAGCAAGGCAAGGCAAGGCAAGGCAAGGCAAGGCAAGGCAAAGCAAAGCAAAGCAAAGCAAAGCAAAGCAAAGCAAAGCAAAGCAAAGCAAAGCAAAGCAAAGCAAAGCAAAGCAAAGCAAAGCAAAGCAAAGCAAAGCAAAGCAACAAGATGTCAGTAATCGCAAGTGTGGAAAAATGCAATACTTGTCCCTGACAAATGCCCCACAGTGTCTCCTTAAATCCTATTCCCCCAGTGAGCCTGATGATGAGGGGCAGAACGCTCTCCTCCTGAGTTGTTGGGTTGACCTGTACTTATCCCACTTTCTCTCCATTCTCCATACCTGGAGATCGGGTGGGGGAAGCAGTTGCTCTTCTCTGGAGCTCCATCATTCTTCTGCTCCACTGCCTGTCCTTTCCATCTCCTTCCACCTTGTTCAGTCATTCTGCCCCCTCTCTTCTTCTCTGATGACTCTTCCCAGGCATGAGAGACCTGGGGCTGTCTCATCCTGCTACTCCAGTCACTCCTCTGGGTCTAGAGATGCTGCACCATCTTCCTCTGTCAGCCCCAGCTCCATCAGCTCCTCAGACCTGGCTCTGACAGGGCCATGACACAATGTTACAATGTTATAATTAACAATGTTTTTTTTAACCAAACAGAATTAAAAACAACCAACCAGCAACCATTCCATTTCATTTATAAGCAGTTTAGTTCATTTGCAATAATGAAAAAGGATGTGGATTAAAATATAACACAGAACTAAATATATTTAAGTCAAAAATTTTAGTGACATAAAAATAGATGGCCCTTCCCTATTATGACCTAGAAGAACATTTAATCCCAAGTGCATATCTGTGTAGAATGACTTAAGCATTAATTTTCATTAATAAATATTTTGAGCAAACTTAGCGGCAAAGTAGATCTGATAGTGAGAAGAAAAAAATCAGTCACCTCATAATTCAGTATTATTGGTCCTGTCCCATTGATGTCCAGCTTTTAAAGAAGCCAACCAGAGTTATTATTCAAAGCTTTTAAAAATAGGCTGATAAAAGAAGCTGTTTGATAAAATTATAAGTAATGAAGTAGCCCAAGGAGGAATGTCAGATAGAACAGGAGATCTTGATGTGAAGACCTAGTTTCCTAATTGGTATTATGTTTACAAGGACATCCTGTAAAAAGAAAAATGAGAGCCTTGTTGAACACCTGCTGTAAAAAGATACTTGGATTCCGGAGCCAGCTTAAATCATTTTTTTGCCTGAAACAAACTGCCAAACAAGCCCTAGGTCATTTAATTTCCAAATACCTATAATTAAAATGAGTAACATCATCAGCATTTGGCAGGGCTATAGCCTTCTTCTGCTCTTTTCATTTCCACATAAATTTTTACTGAAGGTCAGAGTTTGGAGGGACAGAGCAGAACCTGCCTACTTTGAGCTCAGGGGAGGCTAAAATATGGCTTGTTCACAATGCCCCTCATAGTTCAGGATTTAATGGTCCTTGACGATGATAACCTAGAAGTTAATTTCATTCTGTGTCCCCAGGGCAGCCATTGTTATGACAATTTGAATAGACCAAGGGTACACTTTTTCTCATGATAAAGAATCACAAATGAGTAACAATGTAAACTACAGAATGAATGTTCATTGATTACATTTTTAGTGTTGTTACAGATACAAAAAATCCATTCTCCCTGCTATTATTTACCTTTATATTATTCTTTTTTCCCCAGTAGCATTGCCATCCTTGATTAATTTGATGATATATAGCCTTTGAGGGAATTCTGACATTACTAATTGCATGATGTAATCTCAATGTAAAAGATCATTTAGCGTGGTAGGAACAGGACACAATCATCCACCAACAATGGTAGTTACATAAGGTATTAGAATCCAAAGTCCAATACAAAACTGAATTATAACTGAATATTTGAAAAGAAATACAGTGCTAATGTATTTTGAGTAGCCTATTCCATGTACTGTATGTACAGACAAAAGTTAGATAACAGATAATATGCGATTTTTCTGTCCTTCTGCCATATTTTCTATAAAAGAGGGTAGGTAGAATGATCTGAAATACTATATATCCCATAATTTTCTCCTATCATACATGATCAAACACTTTGATTAATAGGAAACTTACCAAACTTGCCCTCCAATAGAGTCAAGGATTTATTTCATAGCTTATTTCATAGTAAAGGTTACTTATTAAAGGTATCTGCAAAATCTGATGCTTTCATCAAAATGATACACCAGTAACTAACCCATTTGCACTATTACTCTATCTCGGGGGTGTCAAACTCTATTTCATTGAGGGCTGCCTCAGGTTTGTGTTTGACCCTGGAGGGCCGGGGGTGGTGGTGGGACATGGCTAGGGGTGGGTGTGGTCAGGGTAGGTGTGGCCAGGGTGGGCATGACCATGGGGAGTATTTGACACAAGCTCAAGATGCATTTTTCCCTTTGCATTCAAAACAGCTATTCCAGACAAAGAGAGATTTACTTTCTGGCACAAATAGTCTCAATTCCATAATGTAGAGATTAAAGACATGTAGAATCCCCAGCTGCTATGGGGCTTGACTCTTTTGTATAGGAGCAGAGCATTAATGAACTGACAATTTCTCCAGATGTCTCTAAAAACTGTCTGTCCAACAGTCTATCAACAGTCTATCAACAGTCTATCTTTGTTACTACCTCGGACACAGCCCTAGAGGAGGGCTTAATATTAGTAATAATTTACAAAATTGATATACCACCCAATTCTCAATGACCCTGGGTGGCTCACAACAATAAAATTAAATACATTTAAATCAATCACATCATAAAAGATTAAGATAAAAGATGACAAAATCAGTGATACAAGGGGCCTCACTCTCTCATCAAAGACCTGGGTGAAGAGCCAGATGTTTTTGGCTCTTCTGAATAACTGCCATCCAGATCTTGGAGCATATCTAGTTCTAATTGGCAGATGCTGCTAAAGATAAGGTGAAGAAGATACTACCTCCTGCAGCATTCTGCTAGCCGAAATGGGCCATGGAAATTGATATATCTTCTAATGAGCTTCTATTTAGAAAATGATTTGAAAGATGATATAGACAACTTGCTGTATTGGGGCCTCGTCAGTTTTTACATAACTGTATTCATGTCATTATGCTACTGCCAAATGATTTAGACATCATTTTGGAGGAGAAAAACAACAAATGTTAAATGAATCAAATGTGAAAATTAGATCAGATTCAGGAGGCAGAGTGTCAAGGTTTAAATATAATACTTATCTCAGTAGTTCAAAGCTTAGCACATGATTCTCCTTATCTGGATTTAGAAACTATGTCAAGTTAAGCCTGGTTAATATTTGGGTGGAAATATGGGGGAAAACAGTAATCCAGTCTTGGAGGTACCTAGTTCTGTTTGACAGATGCTGCTAAAGAGAAGGTGAAGAAGGTGCTGCTTTCTGCAGCACTCTACCAGCCAAACAGGCACAGGGATCCCTATGTGGCCCATTTTTGGCCTCCACGGCCTCCTGCAGAATTCTGCCAGCCAAAATGAGCTGCAGGGCCCCTGTGCGACTGCAGGAGGCCATGGAGGCAGAAAATGGACCCCACCGGGCCCACACACAGCCCACACATGACC